GTTTTACGGTGAATACTCCAAAACAAGAACTCATTTCCTTATAAACTAGAATCTATGATACCCTTGCAGCAATTAAGTTACCATAGGAGAGCGCGGACGAATTGCTCTAGCACTGCCACGTCCGAAACTCCCGGCGCCACTGACGTTATGGTCGGAGGCAAGTTCATCACCGTCGTCATCTTCATCATTTTGCTGCGCCATGACAGCTGCAAGCCTCTGAGCCGCGGCTTTCGTTTGCGTCTTTCTCATCTGTCCAACATTCATTGATCCTGACCGCATGTGGCGGGTTAGTGGGGAAGCCGTCGGTGATCCCGGCGTCCCCCCCGAACTACTCTGCCTCATGTACTCCGGCCTAATTCTATTCATAGCCACTGCAAAATGCACATTAGAGAAAAAAAAAAATTAAAAACACTACTAACTATTAAAGAGAAGTAAAATGGAAAACTACAGAAATTAGAAACAGATGATTGATCGGAATGAAGTGAACCTCGGCAATGAAATTGAAGGGAGAAAGAGGAGATAAAAATGAAATATTGATAGATTTATCATTTACAGAAAGAACTGTAAATGTTATTGTGTTGAGGATGGATCTGAGATGGCAAAGGAGATGATCCGATGATCAAGGCAAGAGATGAGGGAGAATGAAACGGAATTAGAGGTTTAACCGTAGCATGGACATTTACATGGAAAAAGGAAAAATTAGGAGGTGCAGGAAGTCTAATTTTTTTTTTTTTTTGGTTGGATAATGAGAAGTGAGGTATCCAATTCTCCTCCCTTGTTTTACTCTCAAACTCACGATATCTTATTTTTTAGTGGTAAAAAATAATTATTAAGTTGTTTAAATTTATTAGTGTTTAATTTTTTATTTTAATTACATAATAAAAAATAATTATTTTTTATTTTTTATTTTATTGTATTTACATATAATTTTAATTTATGATTTTTTATTTTTAATAAAAAAATTAATTATTGAGTTATTTAAATTCATTAGCATCTTTTTTTTTATCTTAATAATCATTTCTCATTTTTTATCACATCACACTGATATATCATGTGACTCATTTTTTATTTTACTACACTCATATATTATATGATTCAAATTCAAAATTTTTTATTTTTAATAAATAAAAATAATTATTTAACTATTTAGTTCGTTCATTATTGGACTCTAATCTTAAATCCATGAGAGATACTATGACCCTTTTCACATTATCAAATTTGCAATGTGATTATTATTAAATGTTTGGATGATTTCAATGTTAAAATAACAAAATATCTTAATTATTTTTAGTTACATTAGATGTGTTATTTTTTTAAAGTAGGGATCCATTTTTATACATAAGTTTTATACA